GGGCCCGCGAGGGCGGCGGCTGCGGCCTCGGCCCTGCCCCGGGTTCCCCCCGCGGCGCTGCGAAATCCCAGGGGGATCCAGGGGGGATCCCGAGCCAGCGCTGCCTCTCCCTCAAGCCTCGGGCACCGCGGCGGGTTGAGCAGCGCGCAGCCGAGCGCGGGCCGCGGCTCCCGGCGCCCTTCCTGGCGCCGCGCAGGTGGCGGCTGCGCATCCCGCCCGAGGCCGGCCGCACAAAAGGGAGCTGCCGGCCCGGCTCCCCATCCCTCTGGAATGGCAGGAATCCCGGCGCTCCCAGGGCTGGGGCAGTCACGGCATCAGCGCCGCGCTGCTTGTTCTTGTGCCTAAAGCCCCTGCAAGGCTGTGCCTTAGTGCCGCCGGCTGCAGGGGTACGCGCCTTAGACCTGTCAGCAGACATAAAGTAAGAAATTTTAAAAAAATGAAAGCCCGTGGAAGGCTCCACGACGGGAGCTGGTTTGTACCACCGTCCTGCCCTGAAGCCTTTCCCATTTTCTTCCTGGTAGGCAGCGGGGGAGGCTCCGGCCACATTCGCTTTTGTTAAAACTCTCCCTTTGACCTCACCAGGACTTGGATTTAATCCATGGGGGAAGGCGCCCACCCTGGGACAAGGATCCTGGTGCTGCGGTGCCGCGTTTGCCACCTTGGGAACGCTCGGGGCGGCCGTGAGAAGGGGCCAGCGCGGGAGCCGCTGGATCGGCCCCGACAGCGCTCCGAGGTGGCCGGGCGCTCGGCCGCAGTGAGGCAGAGGATTAAAGGCGGAGCGCTGGCCCCCTCCATGGGGACACAACCAAATTACCACCCGGTAATTAGTTGCAGCTCTGCAGCCGGGCCGCACAAACGGCTCCGCAGCGCCCAGCCTCTTGCTGCTGCAAGGGGGGGATATGCCAGGTAGGGCCCGGAAAGGCGCCTGGGGCTCCTGCTGCTGCCCGGGGCTTGCAGCGGCTCGGAGGGCACGCGATGCAGCCCCGCCGCAGCTGCGTTAGTGCAGCCGGGACCGCCGCAGCCCGGCGCGCAGCCGCGTGTCTGCAGGACCAGGCCGTGTTACAGCAACCGCCTCCAACCACCGCCGATTTCCTTAGGCCACCGGGGGATCGTAAAAAATCATCTCATCAAAAAGCAATAAGGGAAAACTGCTCGGCTGGGGCAGAGCTGCGATTACATCAGCCAGCCGGCGGCCCGGGGCTCGGGGGCGGATGCCACTGGGAAACGAGCTGGGAAAAGCGTCTTTGCAGAGGCGTGGACGGCTCTTGCCTCCCTCTGGACGAGCCTGGAGCTTGTCCACCCGCGAGGGGAATCTCCCTGACTTTGCAGGGAAGCCTCGGAGGTGTGAGAGCTGTGAGCTCTGCATCGGAACGAATCCACCTCTCAAAGCAAGRCCTGGGCACTAGCAGTGATTTCCATGCACTTTTACAGGCAGATGTGAGATTTTTAGTTATTTATTTTTCTCCAAGGATTGGCTCAGCGCAGAGAACATTCCCTCAGCGGCAGTGGACCAACCTCAGGCAGAACCAGGCTGCAGGCAGGACTCAGACTTTCCCCAAATATCCCTTGGAGAGGGAACCGGAGCAGCTCTTGGTGGTTCCAGCCTCAAAAGCTGGGAGGAGCAGGAAGACACAAGGGGAGCAGAGGCTGCGTGTCCCACACACTGAGGTGACGGCCCCACGTGCGTGGCACAGACCCTCAAGGCCAGCAGAGCCCTCCGTGTCCCTTCAACTTGCTCTAGTCTCGCCTGGTTTAAGAGCTCGGCTCTCCCGGCTGATAAATCCAAGGAGGCCACTGCGTGTCTTTAAATATATATGTGCTTACCCTGCATTAACTTGGTTGCCCTGTGACTGGCGACTTGAAGATTTGGGATAGCAGAGATTATTTTTAATGCATTTTGTGCAGGTTTCTGCAAGGGAATCTAATTCCTGTGTGACTTTTAACTTGCTGCAAAGGCACAGGATGTTGGGAGCACTGTTAATAAGCAGAGTATTTTTTTTAATCTACTTTGTTAATGAGCTGCATCCATCTCACTGATAAGATTGATGTACTTTATCCAAGCCATCTAGCTGAAATCCCAACGGGGGAAACTGGGATCTTTCAGGGTAGATATTGACCGTCATGGTAGGTACGACTGTCACGCAGTGCACTCCGCAGAGATGTTTCCCATTTGTCCTTTGATATCCTTGGAAGGATGTGAACGCTGTTGGTCACCTGGGAAGGGCCTCCGCAACCCGCGGAGCTGTGGGTTGCTGGCAGCACGGGCAGAGCAGCAGCTGCTCAGCCTCGTGCTGAGGACTCGGCTCCCTAAAACATCTTTCCAATGTCCCCACGGGCACCCCCAGCATCGCCAGCCACCCCCGAGCATCCGCGGGGCCAGGATTAACACGGTGACTTCACCCGGCCGCCGGCTGTAGCGAGGCGGTGACAGCCGGGAAGGGCCCGCCTGTTCAAACAGAAGTGCCTTGGGGAAACGGGCTTTTTGTTTAAAAGCTGCTGGTGTTTTTGCACGTCTGACTAACGTGAAAGTGCCCATTTAAAGGAGTCGGACCTGCCGTGCAATTGGTCACTGTTTACACGCCCACATGTTGACCGAGGCAGCCGAAAGCAAACTTCCCGCGTATCCCGCTCGCGGTGAGCCGGGAGCGGGGCTCGGCAGGCATGGCGTGCAGGGCTGTGCGCGGCGCCATGGCAAAGGCCGCCTCTCTGTGCAGGAAAAGCAAACGGATCGGCCGGGCAGCTGCACGGCCTCCTTGGCATGGCCGCTCACGGGAAAAGAGGGAATTGGGAGGCTCCGAGCAGCAGCTTGGGCTCCTTCCAGTCACCTCATCCCCTTGGGAGGGCAGGGGAAGCCGTGGAGGCAGAGGAGGGAAGCGCCAGCAGGTATCGCCAGAGCTCCCGGCCTCGGGGGCAGTTTTCCTTCTCCCCCGTGACTAAAGCAGCTATTAATTCCCCCCCGCAAAGCTGGAGCACCGCTGTTTTCCTGGGAAGGCAGCCCGGCCAGGCGGCTTTGCCGGCGCGGCCGCGGCGCACGTCGGAGCCTGTCCCGCAGCCCGCTCCCGGCGCCCTCGCCTTGCAGGGATGGCCTTGGGAAAACCGAGGCTTAGAGGCCTGCGGTCAGGGCTGGATTGCGCCCAGGAGTCCTGCCCGGGGACGTGCACGGAGCTGGGAGCTCCCCATCGTATGTCCCCAGGGAAAGGATGATTTTGGTCGCCGCGTGCAAATTTATATTGTAAATAATTATCACGGGGCGTCGGGAAGCACTCGGCGCTGCGGAAAGGCTGCGCTGGTGAGGCCCAAACCACACACGGCGTTCAGGGAGGGATTGCGATCCAAAAAAGAAGGGGAAAAAAAAAGTTCAAAGGTGTTTCGCTTTAATGCGGTTTATCTAAATTGCCTTATGTTCATTAATCGGGATTAGCGCAAATGCGCTTGAAATTTCRGGCCGGGGAAGGTTTGCTGAGCTCTTCCAACGAGGCTTTTCCAAAAATGAAAGGTTAGAGTTGWAAAAGCCCAAGCAAATGAGATCCCGTCGGGCTGTTCCCATCGAGGTCGGGTGCGATGGGTGCTGCTGGGGCCGYGTTGGGCACCCACGGGCGCTCGCGGCATCCGATGCCCCCGCGCAGGCTCCGTCGCGCTCCCCGCGTCGGGGCGGGCGGCGCCGTTAGTTAGGAATCCTCAAGGTAACTTGGAGGTCAAGCCCAGATTTGATGCGAGCGAGGCATGTGATGTGGGCAACCTTCAGGAGAATCAGGTGATTCCTATTTTCTCATTTTTCCCCCTTTTTTGGAGGGGTGGATTACGCCAGGAGCTTTTACAGCCGGGTGGGCAGCCTTGCATGAAGATGCGGTTTGTGACATCTTGGTCCCGCGAGRGCTTTCCCGGACRCTTTGCAGGGCAGCGGCTCCRYGCTGAGCATGTGTCCCTAGAAGGAGTGGCCCATGGGGATAAACGGGCTYGGGAAGCGCCCGGAGTTGCCCTGGMAAATCCCAGTGCTGCTGCCCGCCCTGTGTGCACCTCTTGTGCCCCGCRGGGCAAGTCCTTGCACCTTGGGAGCTCGCGAGGAGGAGGCCGAGGGGGCGGCCGGGACGAAGCCGTTGCAGGGCTGGAAGCGGCACCGCGGAGCCTCGGGACTCCCTCCGCCCCAGCCCCGCGCGAGCTGCAGATTAGCAGTTTGTTTGACGTGTTGTGGCTGGTCGCTCTCTTCGCCCGCTCCCCTGATCAGAGGGAATAAACGTTGCAGTGTGCAGTAATGTTCGCTTTCGGGGAGGGTAAATATAGAAAGGAAAACCTGCTGAGAGCGAGCCATTTATTTCTGCACTTGGAGCCCTCCGCTCATAAACAGGCAGTCATTCCCATTTGGAAAATCCCCGCGCGGTTTTCTTGGCCATCCAAGAAGAACGTTTACTTTCCTGTAGGTTAAGAAGTGCATTTGAAATTAAAAAATAATAATAAGGGCCTCTTGCTTCCAGCTGCCCGGGGCTGTTTGGGGCTTGGTGACCGCTCTGTTCTCGTGCAGGATGGGCCCCATGCAGGATGATCCCGCAGGGCGTCCCGCGCTGGCGGGTGAAGGTGATCCCTGGGTTTTGCCGTGTCCCCCGGCTCATCCTGAGCGGGTCAGTGATCCCAGGGCAGGGCTTTGTGGCAGCTCTTGCTCTGGGCTCCCAGATGCTGGTGGCCTGGGGTGCAAGGAGGTTTTTGGCACACTTGCAGCCGCTCTTTGCAGGCAGGAGGGACAGCAGCACTGCACCAGAAACCCTGCGAGYGCTTCCCAAAAGCCAGAGTCAACAGGAGCTCCCCGGGCCGCAGGAGGATGCGGGGAGCCACTGAGCTGCTCACGGCTGCAGGAAGCCCTCGTCCCCGCACCCGGGTGCTGCCAGGAAGGAGAAACCCCCAAATCCGGCCATGGGAGAGGGGTGGGGGGCACCACCGCRGACACCGGCATTGCAGCGGGATCAGTGCTCCTGCTGCAGCCAAGAAGAGTCTCTCCGTGTTTTCCAACAGCCTCTGGATTTGGCTCGGCTTTGCCTCGGTTTCCGATGGCAAGAGGCAGTTAAGTCTCTTGGAAGAAAGAATTAATTAGCAAATGCCTTTGGTCAGGTCAGTGCCCTGCAGTTGTGTTCTGTGCCCTTTAAAGCAGGGCCTGTGCACCCAGGTAAGCCCAGCTCACAGCCTTGCGTCGCTCTTGTTAATTTAAGGGCTATACGTACATCATCTTGGAGGAACCGTGTGTTTTTATTTATTTAAAAAAAAAAAAAAAACCCTCTCCTAAAACACAGTATTGACTCTAATGATGGCATTTGTGTAAGCAGCAAAATATTGACGCAGTTGGCTCGGGTCTGGCTGGGGCTTCTGGAAATAAACTACTGCCTTGTTAAATGGCACATGGAAATGCAAGTGGGAAGGTGACGGACACCTTTGGCAGCTTGTGCAAATAAAATCGCCTCTTTGCTCCGGCGCGAGAAAACGCGGGCAATTAATAGGGCTCCTTCTGCTCCGGGGTGTTGGATTTATCCCCGACTCGACTTCATAAACTATTTTAAGGAGGCCCCGAGCTCCTTGGAAGCAGGCGCCGCAGGGAGCGCGTTAACCCGCGGCGTCCCCGCCGCCACGCGGGCCCCTCCGTGCACCAGCACCTGCCGCSCTCTCGCATCGGCCTCGTTCGGATTTGAAAGATATCGCACGTGCGATGGGAAATGCCCCAAACCTCCTTTTGCCTTCGTTAGCTCTAGGATCTTTCGGTATCTTATATGGGGAATGTTATTGCCCGAGCTTTARGGAGCAATAAGTGGCTTTCCTTGCTTCCCTTCCTTCTCTGTCTGCATCCCAGTGATTCTGCAGCCGGTCGCGTGGTGCAGGCAGCGACTCCCCCAGCTATTTGCTCTACCTCTGTCTTCCCGGCGCTTATCCCAGCATAAAGGAGCCCCTATTTCTGGAAGCGCTTATGTCACTTGGAGCGCCGTAGAAATCCACCTGGAAAAAGGGACCCTTATTCTGGGAGCGCTGTGGTTCGTGGTTAGCTGTGAACGGGGACTCGCCTTCTATTCCTGGCGCTGCCATAGACCTTCCTGGGAACGCAGGGCCAGTCACCTCATCCCAGCGCACGGCGGCCTCCCATCCCATCAAACAGGGCCCTGGCCACATGGGAGAGCCCTGGCAGCACCAGGAAGAACGGCGGCGTTTGGTGGCACCCGATGGCTTTTATCCCACTTGGAAGCATGGTGAAAAGCGGAGCATGGCGCTGGCCCGGGGAGCTTGCACCCCAGGTCACCAGCATCGCTTGAGCCCAGGCTGCYGACGGACTCCTGGGAATTGCGGCGCTTTCCTGCTGCTTCTGTCAAATGCCACAATTCCCAGGAATCCGCCAGCAGATTCCAGGAATCCTCAGCGCTTCCCCAACGCCGTTTGCGTCGACTCCGCGCAGCCGTGGGATGCTCCCGCAGCGCAAAACCAACCCAACTAGGGATATGTAGTCCCGAGTGTTTACGGAAGCGACACACGGAGCCCCTCGCCAGGGATCCGGGCCGCTGGGAAACAGCAGCCGCTGTCTCCGGAGCAGATGGAGCGCAGGGAGCGGGCGCTGCGGGGCTGGGCTGCAGCCAGCGGGACCGAACGGGAAGGGCTTTTATAGCCCGTTAGCGATGGCCGGAGCAGGCTGGAGCGCTCCTAAGGAGACAGGGAAGCACCAAGGCTGCTCCACGGTGCGAAGCCAACGGGCAACCTGGAGCCGCCCACTCCTTCCCGGTGGCCTGGGCCATCCCGGGCTCAAGGGAGCYGCCGATCCGCCCTGGCCCGGGCGGGATGCGCATGGGAGGCTTCCCAAGCGCCCGTGTGGGTTTGCTAATGGGAACTGAATTGCGTCCTGGCCCGGAGGCTGCAGGAGCGGAGCGCAGGGGCTGCGCTGACCTCACGTCGCCTCCTGGGAATGTTTGGCCAGATGAGGGGGGACGGCATCGGCACAGCGCAGCGTTTGCATCTCCCTCTCTGTGTAAACATCTCTGGAGCTGCAGAAGCCTCTTAAAACCCAGAGCGAGCGCAGAGCAGCTGCTTTGATCTGTGGATGTGGTTGTTGTTTTCTGAGAGCGGATCCTCTCTTTCTTCTTTTTTTTTTTTTATTTTGCTTCAAATTAAAAAAATGCCTGTTGTGATCCCTGCTTTTATTTCTTGGCTGCAACTCGGGGCCGGGCGCAGTAAATCCTCATTACTCGCCGTGTAACCGTTTCAACATGGTCGGCAGCCCCGCGCCGCCGAGCACAATGGAGCGGGGCCCACACGGGCGGCCTTCGCCCCGCGGTGCCCGGCGGGGA